GAGACAGGGTTTCTCTGTGTAGCTTTGCGCCTTTCCTGGAGCTCACTTGGTAGCCCAGGCTGGCCTCGAACTCACAGAGATCCGCCTGCCTCCGCCTCCCGAGTGCTGGGATTAAAGGCGTGCGCCACCAACGCCCGGCGCGGTAAATTCATTTTTTAATCGAATAGATTTTATCTGTTCTTTGACCATTTCAAACAACGTGCCTTGATCACCTCTACCCCCGCCAGCTCCCTTCCCCACCTCCCCAGGCATTCTCCACACATTTCTTCCCTCGCTTCATGTCTCCTCTCTGGCAGCCTGCCGAGTCCGATTAGCACTGCCTGTTGGAAGCTTGACTGACCTTGTTGACTCGGTCTTGTGTAGGTAGCCACTGACTGCTGCTGTGAGTTCCCAACAGCCCTGTCACTTCCAGAAGACGGCATTTCACAGCGCCCCTCCCCATTCCCTGCCTCTTTCATTCTCTCTGCTCTCTCTTCTGTGATGATCCATGAGCTCTGTGTGGAGCGGAGGGCTGAGGCCCAATAGGTCACTTATTCTTGGTGCTCAGAGGGTTGTTGCTGTCACAAAAGGGATATCCTTGAGTGTGGTGATATTGTGTCCCCCCAATATATTGTGCATCCTAATAAACTTATCTGGGGTCAGAGGACAGAACAGCCACTAGATAGACATAGAGGCCAGAAAGTGGTAACATACACACCTTTAATCCTAGCATTCTGGAAGCAGAGATCCATCCGGATCTCTGTGAGTTCAAAGACACACTGGAAACAGCCAGGCATGGTGACTCACGCCTTTAATCCCAGGAAGTGATGGCAGAAAGGTATTTAAGGCATGAGGACCAGGAACTAGAGCCTGATTAAGCTTTTAGGCTTTTGAGCAGCAGTTCAGCTGAGATCCATTCTGGATGAGGACTCAGAGGCTTCCAGTCTGAGGAAACAGGATCAGCTGAGGAATTGCCAAAGTGAGGTGGCTGTGGCTTGTTCTGCTTCTCTGATCTTCCAGCGTTCCCCGCCCCAATACCTGGCTTCAGGTTTGATTTTATTAATAAGAACTTTTAAGATTCGTGCCACACTTGAGCCTTGTTCATTGTGGTGTAAACTCGTTCCTGGATGTGGGCTTTACAAGGCCACAGGAAGTGAATGGGCTATGACATTATGATGTAGATGAGACTTCCTAGCTGAGAGGAAGAATGAGAGCATCTCCTCTTCCATGCCCTAAGTGGGGAAGCCAGAAGATAGACACATATCTCCGCCTCTCCCTTCCAGCTTGAAGCATCAGCATAGATGTTGAGCTCACAGGAAAGCTGAAAACAATGGTCTCATGTTCTTGAGGGGGAGGGGGACAGGTCCAGGGCAGGAAGAGCCACATCCAGATGGATTCCACAGCCTCCCCAGTACTTGTCCCATCGCAACATGGGCCACCAACCGAGGGTGAGTTCATGCCTAAGACAGTGGGGCAAGCCCTGGCCCTTCCAGCACACAGGGGTGATGCCAAGGATCTAGCAGTCCTGCACATACCTGAGTGGGGACGGAAACACTTAGACCAGTGGACCATGGAAGCCTAGAGAGAGCAAAGAGGCCATACTGCTGGGAAAGGGGTTGTGATCAGAGGCAAGAATCACTCCGTACCAGAAAGAGTGCAATGTCTCCTGCTACGGTGAGGGATTGATTGTGCTTCCCAGCCCAGGGCGAAGCAAAGCCAGGCCACTTCACATGAGACACCAGCAAGAAGTCAGGGTGCCGGGCACAGTGGCCCCACATAGCTCTGTGCACCCACCTGCATGGAAAGGAGAGAAACCTGAATCACAGGGCTGATGCTACAGTGAAGAGAGCCCTGGGTGCTGCTGAAATTCTATGCATGAGCACGTTTAATTTGACAAGCCTGCTCTTCCCAAGCTCCCACTTAATCCCATTGAGGAAAGGCCCAGAGGGAAAATTTAGATCCATTTTAGAAAACACTTGAAGCTGCATTACACCTTCCTATCTTAGCGAAAGAGAGGAAGTCTGCACCCGCCTGCTGCTGTCTTGGAGATCTTGGTCGTGTGTGAGGCTTGGCAAAGCTGTGTTGTTTGTTTCTCTCTGGCTTATGCAGTTCGTGGATTTCAAGACACTTGAAATATTGATAGTGCTGAAGAATTTCCATTCCACTTGTCATAACGGATGCTTTCCTTCAACACAGGCACGTCTCCCAGTTGTCAGGAACCCTTATGTGAGTCAGGGTGTGTCTTAGAAAGCAAACAACCAGCTCTTTTCAGCATGAGATGGTTTAGGCAGTTATGAAATGCCCTGCCAGGATCTCATTTGGTCTCCAAACAGTGCACAGTACTACAGGACAGACCTGCCCATGGGGCTGCAGCCTCCCAGACTCCAGGAAAGCAAGGGAGGTAGGAGGCCACCACTCCCACCACCCAGGCTGGCTTCAAGAACTTTCTACTAGAGATGCAATCCCAGAGACGGCCTCTGGATTTTCTCTCAGCTCAAAGCTAGAGGTAAACATGGGCTTTCGCGCCTACATTCCTTTCTACGGGGCTCCC